CTTATTATAAATTGAATTATAAAAGAAATACTATTACCTTTGAATCTTTCTGGTCTCATTCTAGCTGACCAACAAAATGAACATATGTTACCTACCTTTAGATAACTTAGTAAACTCTCCCAACTTAAAGTTATTTAATACGTCAACTCTTTCACCTGACTCTATCACGTGTACTCTCGTGACAGAATCTAAAGTCATATTAAAACGGTAACAATATAAACTTGAAAATATTTATTAATTTTTTAATATATTATTAATTATAAATATTATTTTTAGAATTTATATTAAATAATTAAAGACTATAATACTGATATATTTTTTTAATTGAAAATTCCAAATTTGAACTTAATTTTATAAATTTGAACTTAAATTAAAAGAAGTTTTCTCAATTTTTAATCAAATTGTAATTGTTATGCAAGAAGATGACTTATTTAATAAAGATAATTCTTTTCAAAAAGAATTTATAAAAAAATTTAGCAATTGATTTAATTGATAAAAATATATTAAATTTAGAAATTAAACTTATTTTAAAATTTAGAGTTTAATAAATTATTTAGTTTAACTAAAGAACAAATTAAATATGAAAATAGAAAGTTTAATATTAATAATTTGCTTAGTAATTCAGATTAATAAAATTTATAATTTATTATTATGTAGAATTTATTGAGTAGAATTAATAAATATAATTATTATATAATTATTGGAGCAAATTAAGAGTTTTATTTCTTGAGATTTAATTTTTTTATATTCACTTTCTGGCAAACTCTTGATAATTATAATTGTAAACTCTATTATCAAAGTATTATTATAAAAGTATTGTGAATTATAAATGAATTATAAAAGAAATATAGATTTAATTGTTAATTTGAGAGAGTATTTAAACTAGAAAGAGATTTTTTAAGTCTATATCAATATTGATAAATATTATATAATCTTTGAGATTTTAGTAAGTCAAATAAAAACTTTATTACTCTTGTGCAAAAAACTAGATCCAATTTAATTAAAATATTTATTTATATATTTTTTATTTTCTAATTAAAATTATTATTATATTTATAATAGTATTTAATTATAATTATTTCTTATTGAGAGTATATTCTCTGAATTTTTTGATTTTTTATGTTAATTATTTCTATTATCCTCTTTTATTATTAAGTATAAATATATTTATTTAAATAATAATTGTAATTATTCTTCTTAATATTATTAAGCTCAATGTAATTACTTTATTTATGAATAATTATGTAATTTAATTAAAATTTGGAATTAATCAGAGTTTGAAATTTAATTAGAGTTTGGAATTATAACTATCCAAATATAATTTTTCAATTTGAATTAAGATCTTTTTTCATCTGGGATTTGGGTTTTAGTGGATATTTAGAGATTTGAGATTTTGACAACAACTATAAATATAATTTGAAGACTTGTTCTAAACTTCACGTAAAACATATTTTTCGAAATTAACTCAGAATTTTGTGCTAATTTATCTCAAATATATTGTTATAGAAATACTAATTTATCTTTTTATAAAATTATCTTTTTATAAAATAGTCAAATATAAGAAATAACAAAATCTAGTTTCATTAATTTTTATGGCAATATAAAGAAGAATCATATTTGAAAATTTTTTCAGTAATTTTACAAAGTAGAAACAAAAATTTTATTATATTTATAGCAATTGCACTGAATAAGCTATTTTATTTTAGAAATATGCTTTTACTTTACATGAATGGATAATGAATTACATGTGTACATGTAACATAAATCACTCATATCCTGGTGATTAATTGCAAATGGGTTCCAAACTTTCATAATGTAAAGAATGGAATTATCTTTCCAATAAATTTGCTATAAATTGGATGATAAAATGAAAGACTGTTTTGGCATTAATAGAGACTATATTATATACCAGGATCAGGATTAATAATGCACTTAAATAAAAAAATTATGCCATTTACTTTACTTTGGACGATTTTGAGGGGTCAGATACTTATGATTCGCACAGACATTAAGGGCACTTGCTTACATTGTTCAATTTACCTCGTTCATAAACTCTTAATGTGATTTGCGGATCAAGAAATAACGGATCCTCCAACCAGGTTGCTTTATATAGTGTTCCAAAAGCTCCTTTTTCAAAATATTCAACACTTTAAAAGGGATCCCTTATAATTTTAGCGCATTTTTATATTAAACCGTAGATGGTATTCACAACATTAATCGCAGTAGTGAGTTTCTTGATAATCGGTACATTTACTACAATCATGCTATTTGGAGAACTTAGAATCCATTCACTTTTTGTTATGTGTATATTTAAGATGTTTCGAGCACTAGAATAAAAGAGCTTTCTGATGTTTTTCCAAATTTATATTATCAACAGACCCAATGACATACCATGTTGTAGAGTTTGGCAAACTAATAGATTAAAACGGATTTGATAAAAGATTTGTTTATATAATAAAAACAAGCAATAAAGGGTTAAACATAATGTTTTTTTTCAATTCAGCATTGGTTTATTCGTATCGTCTCTACTACGAGCATCCTTTTTTAACTTTTTATGCGATTCTTCAGATTCTTCAGTAACGCCACGTTCCCAATCTTTTTGAAGCTGTCCAACGATACCTATTATCAAATTTAGCGAACATACATAAATATTATGGCGAATGTGTTTTTCTTGTTTATAGAAATTTCAATTATTATTACCTTTTGGATCGTTGAGAGCTGACGGATGAACAATATGTTCTTTATCCTGCCAATGTTCTTCTTTGGTATTTTCTCTCGCTAGGTCTTTGATGTCGACGGGAAAATCGTGACGTGGAAGTGCATGAAATACGACTGCCGAGTTTGGTTCGCGGCCTATGGAACGAGAACATAAATAACTATTTAATCATAGACAAAATTCAGCAGCATTTTATTCGTACCAATTGAAAAAGATTTTTTTTCAGACATAATTAATTATCAATTGAAGCTTGTTAACGAAAAATTATCTCACACAGCCTCAATATATACGTAGCTCGGTTTACGTCATATCGATCAACATGATTGATGTGTGCATTTAATGCAATATACAATACGTCATAGTTGCGACAGTTAAATTTACACGCTACTAGCGGAGTGCTAAGTTATCTTATATTCCAACAATTAGTTGAAGCTTCTGAACAATAACAGAGGGATCCGGAACGCACATTTTGGGTCAGGTCGGATTGGGGTCAAACCCGACCCGAAATAATTCGGGTTAGCTTAAAAATCGTTATTTTTCGTTCAATATTAATTGGAATTAAACGAAAATTTGTGGACATATACACAATTACATTCCGAACAACTCTACTTAGACACAAAATACAAGTGTCTTAGTAATAAACGAAAAACTAATTTACGATTTTCGGATCCGAATCTGACCCGAAATTATCGGTTCGGATTGACCTCAAATCCGATCCAACCCGACCGAACAGAGCTTTAATATGTATGCTCTGTTTGTCTATAATGTCTGAAAGCGAAGAAACAGTAAAGTAAAATTGTATGTAAAGAATTGGCTTTTGTACACTTTTTTGAAACATATCTACTGTATGTAAAAATTATGTCTTTATTAACATCTGCATATATACATTATAAATGGAAAATGTTATTAAGTCTGCTTTTTTAAATATCAATAAAGTATATGCTTAAAACTGGTCCAGTATATAGTTTCATAATAGCCAGCTCTGAGATCCGATACAACTAACACAGGTAGAAAAAAAGTTAACACACTCGGATTCTGTTAAACCATTAGACAAACTTCTGTGTTTTGCTATATTTTTTGTCGTTATCAGAGTTTCCCCCGGATTTTGACACAATCATAACAAACTCTCGTAAAAGATTGAAAATGTGGAAGTTTACCCAAAGGTATAACAAGTCAAATTTGAGTAGAACCCCTTTACATGTGTAGTTGAATAACGCGAAATTTATTAGGCGTCACCAAAGGATTTATTGGTTTTCATATCATCGCATAGTTCCACGATATCTTCCCCGACCCAGCTTTTTATTTTTAAAGTCAAACAATATTATTTATACAAAATCGAATTTTATACATGTACTTGTTTGATGCAATACAATATTAGACTGCGTCTCAAATTTTAAATTTCATAAACCGGTTTTGATACCCAGCCGGGATAAATTTTGGTGTGTGGCCTTATATAGGGGCGTGAAAGAAATTATCAAGTATTAAAGTAACGAATGCACAGCTTAAAAAATATCAAATCTATCACAAACAAACATATAATTTTGTTACATAAATTTATGCCCAAAAATTTGCTTTTGTTTTATACATCAGAGATTCTACTTAATTTCAACTTATAATATAACAAAGACATTGCCGCAAACATTTAGATACTTGACTGATTTCTATTGAATTCTACCGGTTCATAGAAAATGATGTGCTATCGAGAATTGAATTTTGTTGATTGTTAATAATGAGCGTGTCGATTTTCATACACTGATGTCTCATTGCTGTTATCGATTAACGGAAGTTCTATGATGATACAACTCTTCTTTACAATCTTACACACACAATTGGTGCTCAAAGCATAAATCGGCTTTCATTCATTATTACTTATCAACATTTCAACGTTTCAAATAAACATAGCACATAATTAAATTATATCGTTAATGTAACAAATGAAGAAAGGGCGTTGGGAAATATAATTTATTTCTTATAGACTTATAAACTATACTAATAAAATAAATAAATATTGATAAGTAGCGTGTGTAAATCACTTTTGGTCGTTGTATAACTATAATATCGATTCTAATTTTTTTAGATTCTTGCAAATTTTAAAAAATTATATGAAATTTCAAGAACTGGAATTTTCGAGTCTGCATTGATTCTACTCAAAGGCTAAACTAAACTGAGCTGAACTGTTTAAATTCTTTAAATAAATTAGTATTTTATACTATCTAGATTTAGTAGCTGTTAAATATTCTTTTTGGACTGATGCTGTTTTTTCTTAATCCACCAATATTAAAAAGCTTGTTCCTAAGTGAGAGAATAGTATTTTATCGTTTATTTTTGTTGATAGAATAAATAAAATGGTAGTATTCTCAGATAATGTAATACCAAACACAAAAATATTACCATTAGATTCGTCTCGACTATATGTTCGAATGGGATTACTGGATGTCGAGATATCGGGTTCCAAAGTGACAAATTCATTTTTGAATTTCCGGTAATATATTGTAGGGGTGTGTATAGTGCAATCTGAATAATCACATCATTTTTGAATATTAGATAATGGAAGTGCACCTTGTGTAAAGTGTGATCTTTCAATTTTTTCAATATGATCTCCAATTTCCGAAAAAAATAGATGCGCAAAACTATTTTCATGTCAAAAATCAGGAAATAATGTATCGTGACGAATTCATTTCTGAAAAGACGGAAAGTTTTCTGTTGGATATTCTTTAATTGATAAGATTTCTATTACACTTCACAATCTCAAAAAAGTTAATTTCTCAAGCTTAAGGTTGATGAGTATATGTATACTATGTCTAAAGCTCTCAGAAATTGATAAAATTGAATATACTATGTGCTAACATGTAGATTTTTATATATATAATCTGAATTTTAAATTTATCCCCTTTCAAGTCACACTTTAATGAAGGGTTTCGTTCCAACGAAAAACTTATTTAATGTATTAAAATGGACTCTTTATTAATAATTTATAGTCAAAGTGAACTTTCAATTTTTAGACATGCTAAAAATATGAAAGTTACATATATTTGTCAAATATAAAATGATAAACTTAGAATTTTTTATTATGCGTATAAGTTTTGAATTTTTTGAGAAGTAAATCATTCTAAAATAGAATTTGTATACGTACCTGGTTAAAATAATCAATATACGTAACGATAATAGTAGATGTTTAATTCTTAAAAAAGTGAAATTAAATGATATAGAGGGATGCAAATATAAAAAATATATTTTAAGTATAGTCACTTAATGGTTAGAAAAGTCAGATTGGTTAACTATAAAAGAGGTGATTTGATTTTTATTTAAAAATAGCATACGTATTAGACAAAATTTTCAATTTTGCACAATACTTTTCTAATATATAATTGTTCAGAAAATTGAATCATATAATCGTGTATAATAAATAATTTTGAATGTTAAGAATCTGATATACGTATCGATTATCTTCAAGATATTTGTAGAAAGTTGTTCATTTAACTTCATCTGGATACTCTATCATGAATGTTTTCCAAAAATTTTTTGTATATTCAGGTAATGACTTGTACGTACGTACATGTATAATACGACACCTGATCGCTTGTACATTTATAGATTGATAGAGCTTCTGCGTATATCTGATATTGTATGTTCATAAACTTTCATGTCACAAGTACAATCAGTCATTTATAACAAGTACAATCAGTCATTATAACATACATATCAATATCCAAGAATCTAATTCTTGACATCCAGTAATCCAGTTTGAACAAAATACAGCTATTCGAATTGTGGTATTTTTGTTTAAATTGGACCACTGGATGTCGAAATATTGCGTCTTAAAGTAACCAATTCATTTTTTTTTGAAATTAACAAAAATTGACCAATTCATTTTTTTGGCGATGAATCTGTAATATCTCGACATCCAGTGACTCAATTTGAGCGAAAATTTCACCATTTGATTCGCCTAGATTTAGACAAATCGAATGATAGTATTTTCGCTCAAATCGGATCACTGAACATCGTTTTAAAGTGAACGATTTATTGTAATTGGGGCATGAACATAAAATACCCCAATATAGTGCTCTAACATCTGTAAATACACAAGGGTTTTTGTATCAAAATGGAGTTACTCTTGAACAAAATCTTTTAATAAAATGTTTGCTCGGTTATACATATGCTGAAGGAATTGGCGTAGAAAAAATAACACGAACGTATTTGAAATCAGTTAGATAAAATGACCTTGATTTTGTTATCAAAATAGGATGGTATGTAAAATCAGCAGAGGGAGGAACTCAGTTTATGCGGATTTTAATTAGCGCTTCAGTTTAATGAAGTTGAATGTGTAGTTCGATAAATTTATGTTACATGTAAAGATAAATTGTATTAGGTTTTATACACTTTACACGGTTTTCTATTGCACTCAGCGCATATAACATTGCTTAAAGGACTCTTACTTATAGAAAATTTAATCCTTAATTTTTTAGTAAAACAATTGTTTTTTTCTGCAAAATCAATAATTCCAAGATTCATGATGCAATTTCTTAACACAAAAAGAAAGAACCGGAAAGGATCTTTATGGAGTATTAGCGATATATCTCCGATATATTATTTGTTCGTCCGTGAGACTATATAATGATATTTTCTTGATGAACTACTAATTCGTCAGGAAGTTTTTGAAAACACACATTAAATGTGTTGTTCTACAAATCTTATCGCTATACTTGTAGTATTGTTTCACTAATTAAAAGTGTAAAACAAGTATAGAACAACACATTGTTTAATAACTTTTACTAATTAAAAGTGTAAAGCAACAACATAGGATTTTGTAGAACAACACATTTAATGTGGAAAAATATGTATCAGGGTAGTCTCACGGGCGTTAGTCTCCATGAGATATATCCGCATATTAACGGCGGCACAATCATGATATCTTTGGCATCGCAGGAGATGATTAATACATGTACATATAAAGCATGTAATAGCATATGCTATTTTTATAGAATAGCAGTACGTATATGCAAAACAAAGTTTATACATGTACATGAACATGTAACTTACTTTAATCTACGTACTCTACCGCTACAATGCAATACCAAAAAGTTCAAGTTACACCCGGGGGCTTACGCACAAAGAACTACATGTAGTAAACTATTATCATTACTGTTATGAAAATGTGTGGATGGGCACTTTCTCAGGGCAGTAAATTACGGTATATAGTATCGTTGTTGTGTGTCCTAGAAATAAAACACACCCAAAAGTGGAAAAAACATCCGGAACAATAAGCTATAACAAGTTGTGTAGCACTCATTTTTTTGCAAATCGTTAACATTACGTACGTAACGTTAATGCATTTCCGTTTCAACAAAAGTATCGAGAACAAGATTTTTTGGGTTTGGCAATTAACGTTAACGTCAACGTTAACGTTAAAATGCATAAGAAATTTGGACTTATTCCCCTTTTTTAAGGTCAACTTCAATTCTGTAGTATTTGAATGTTTTTTTTTTATTATTCCATGAAAAGGATCTTCGTACATATAATTTTTTTTCATTTCAGTTATTCGATAAAACTGTTCCCGTTCCGGATTTGATCAAAAGTAGTTTGTGAGCCATTATGTAGAATGGATAAAGAAAACGAACAATAAACTTGTAATCCATGACTTTTAAGAAACAATTAATAAAAGAAAACCGAGAAATTGATATTTATTTATTTGAAGATATAATTTAATAAAAGAAATTCTTGTGATTTTATTAACGCAGTACTTTGTCTTTGTCTTTAAATACGAATAATACTTCAAACAATCTGTATTCGAATATAAACACGACCATTTAAAGGTATAAATATTCTAATTCAGTTTATGATTCAGGATTTTTCTTGATTTCTTTTTTATGGTACAGGAACTCTTAAATCGACAATATGTTTCATGTTAAAAATTCTATCCACTTCTTAACTAAGAAATAAATACAAAATTTGACCGGTAATATTATCAAGTCCTTTTCTATAATATTACCAGTCAAATTCTAGATTTACTTCTTAGTTAAGAAGTTGATGGAATTTTAACATGAAACATATTGTCGATTTAAGAGTTCCTGCTGCACCATAGTATATTACATACAATTTATTAATTTTTAAAGGAAAATTTTTCACATTTTATAGAGATATTTCTTATTTCCTTATAATCATTCAATGATGATAATCTAAATTATTTGTAGTAAACTTAGATTTTTTCCAATTTAATATTTTTAGATCCTCTGAAACTTCCGTTTCCTACACTTAAAGAGAAGGTTTTATTTCTTTCAAACTCAATTTCTCAGATAACAAATTTAAATATTCATTGCTTGATTAACTGATTTACCTTATCGTTGTTAGTGTTTTAGCTAGTACTATTGCTATAAACAAACATGTGACTCATTCTGATATTAAAATTAGTGTAGACGATAACCTATAACAAACTTAAGCAGGGACGGATTCGTATAGACATATCAATTTAAAAATCTAGAAATTGCAAACGGTTTCCGATGAAGAAAATAATTGCTGACACTAGCCCGGACTTTTTAGGGGCAATCCCACTCCAATTACCAGAAATCCGAGCAAGAATTATATGAAATCCTATCATATGTATAGTTGTTAAAAAGTATGCCATCATGATAATGAGACAGGAATGGCCAGAAGAAAATTTATGCATCAACATAATTACTAACAGTGCTAACAGTGCTAATGCATATATTGTCCATATCCAGCGTTTAAATGTTTCATCTGTGTTTAATAGTCCAATAGTCACCAATATCAAACTCACCCAACCAGCAACAGATAATAAAATTATCATAACCCAACCAAAATAACTATAGTGGAGATTTATGTGTGAAGAATCCGTTTCATCAACCTGTTGACTTCTAAATCCATCATTCATTATTTTGAAACTCCATGGCGTAAGCTGCCCAAGCGCCATTAATACTATCACCAGTTTTCCATTGCAATAGATACATGTAAAGATGATTGGTCCTATTGTTGCAACAGATGCAAAAATCGCTAAATACGGATTTTGTTTTTTGTAAGGTTTTCCCCATCGCCATATTGAAATCAGAGGACAATTCGCGTATGTTAAAAGAATGGATAAAAAAAATAGGGACCAGTTGGTTATCCCAAAGATTCCATATGGCAATCCATAGCCGGACGCTTGGTCTGCTAGCTCGTCCGATATTCCTAAATAAATGTTTAAAGAAACATCTAAATATTACGGCTGTAAGCTTGGTTAAAAGGTTAAAGCTAATCAAACCTACCAGAGTAGTCGCTCAAAGAACCCATTTTTTATATTTATCAGAGAGCAGAAAAGCAAAGATGTGAACGTAGATGTGTATTTAAACGTCAAAAATAGAATTGATCTTTTAAATTTAGACATGTCCATAATGATGAGATTAAACACAACATATCAATATCGACATCAACACACGTGGATTTACATCTACGTAGTCTGAACACAAATAAGCACCACCTCTGTGTTCCAATCTGTGTCAATATGGTAATAAGTTACGTGCATTTTTACGGAATAATTGAACATGCAAAAAGGTCATTTTCTTAAAAGAACCAATAATCCGTCATGCAATTAGCTGATTGACTGTGCATATTAATAGATTCCCTTATTGGTGAAAAGGGGAAAAGGAGATACGCGTATCGGCGCAAATTTCACTTCCATAAAAAATTGATGTGCGCTGTGCACAAAAAAATTATTGTTATCGTTATACGTACACATATAACAATAACGATAAATGTGCATGTGCATTAGTAATACGTAATAACGATAATGTGCGTTACATATGCATAATTTTTTAAATTTTACACGATGATATGTGTAACGGACGGTAATGAACGCACATTTATTTTTGTTTACAATATCGATATATACCGATACCAATACATATCCTGAGGAATATTTGACGATGTACATACGTACTTTGGTTTTGATTCTGATTCAGTCCTTCAACACACATTAATTATCATTTTTTAATACACACAGTCTCTTCATAAAGTATTCGTCCACTAAATCTTACGATTAGTAAAAATGGTTTAAACTAAACCATATTTTGTTGCTATCCCTGACCTTCAACATATGTTAAAATTTGTGTAGTCATGCTTTCAACCAATGTTTCACTTAAGGATGCTTGCCGAAATCTCTTAGTAGCCGTCGAAACTCTGTCGAAATATTTTTGGAGGGATTTCGGCAAGCATCCTTAGTTTCACTTCAAAACGATTAATTGCTGACTTATAAATTTTTGAGAACATTACTAATTTTCAAACGGATTTTAACATTATAATACTTGTTCATGTCCAAAAGGTGTCTGCTCTCTTTTTGGCATTACGCAAAATGCGTAAAGTCAGTTGATTGTCATTGTCTGTATACTAATGTCGTGGGCTGGTTATAAATCTTATTTCTGGGAAACAAACTCCAACGCATGTTCAAGGGAAAAAATGATGATCTTGTATTGGTAGGGAAGCATATCGAGCTCAAATGGAAATTAGTAGAAAATGCATGTAACATTTCGAGCATCGAAGGCGGATAATTCAGAGCGAAGCACGGCTGTTGTTTTCGAGGATCTCTGTGCCGAATCAAAGAAAGTGCAAGAACGAATTATTCCTTACTTCATTAGTGGTCGGCATCAAAATATCTCACCGATATACGTAACCCAGAAATATCAAGCTATGCCCAAAATCATTTGTGAAATATCTCACGTTCCGAAGAAGTGGCTCCCGAGAAGGTATATCCAAAATCGTGCGCCAATATACGGATAATCCAAGATCAGAATTTTACAGTATTCGATTTTATTAAGGTAACGGATAACCCACTTGCAATTAGATTGGGTTGGGATACTCCTCTCAAACTTTCGAATAGAACCCACTTTCAGTGATGCGAGAAATTTTTTCGCCTCCCGTAATTGCAATTTCTGTTCCTCGATTCGCGACGCAATTTCTCATTTATATTGACCCATTCCTCATGATCTCTAGTTACATCTTGCATGAATTTTTCGAACGTGTCTTATATTTAAGCAATTGTTGGTGCAAATGTCGAGTTCTTTCTTAACCCCAACGATTGATCTTCTCTTCGTGATCATATGTATAAAAAAGGGTATTAGTGTTTAGGTTTCCTGGTCAGCCATGTCTATGTTATATATGCATGATAAAATTTCAAGCGATTTTTATTTAAACTCAATACGTATGTTGTCTCTTATATCAACATCGGAACTTCGGCGCTGGCATTGTTTTTTTTCTCGTATAAATCATAATTCGGAATCAATACCACGTTGAAGATTCGAAGCTTTGCTTTCTTGATTTTAGTTTGCATACAAAATTCGGAGCAAAAAAAAGCGATTACGTAGTTCTCAGGAATGACAAGATAAAGTATTGACCAAAAATCTATAACAAATTATACATCGATAAATACTATCATGTAACAAATTTGTCTCGCATTTTGCCAAAGAAAAATAAGTCTCCGCAAGGTTAAAAACACAACCCGAGTTGTAGGCTAAATATATGTATCGGTATTATTATTATTGTTATACATAAAAAATTCAGGATCGTCATCTTCCACACTACCCAAAAAAAGCACACCGTCAATGTTCTACTTTGCTTTCCATTTCTTCAATTGCGATTAATACTTGAGAGTTTTGAGATTTATTTTTTGGTGTCTACCACGGTTTTTCATCATCAACTTTGAAGATAAGTTGTGCTCATGGTTCAGTTCATAAAACATTGCTGTGCAAAATGATTAAATGAGAGGTCATTTTCTTTGATGTCAAGATAGGAAAAAACTAATTCATAATTCCCAATCAACCAACTTTTAGTACTTACCATTACATGGTTAAAAATTTTTATTGTTGATTTTAATTTTCCGATGTACTCAAATAAAAGCCATTTACCAGGTCTTCTACCAACAGCTGTCCGCAAACGCCAGCAATTTGCAAAAACGGAACCTAGGTCGTATCCACTTGTTCATCTGCTCGACAGGCCATTCAAAATTGATTGGTTGATTCTAGTTGAGCGACAACGATCTCCAACTGCTTTAGCTGAAGTTGCGTTGGCAGCAAATTCCCATTCACCAAGATCTATTCCTGCAGGACTTAAAAATCGGACATCGCACTTGCAATCTTTCTCATAACTTGCGGATTGGCTCAAAGGACAAAAATGCGCAAAATATTCATAAGTTTATACGATTGTTAGAGTCCAAAAGGTATTCTTTATTTACCATTTACAACGTATTCCATCTCCGTTTTGCAGTCCTTCAGCAATGTAAGTACATGCTTTTACAATAACATTAAATTTCGATGTGATCATTTCTGTCTTTGACCTTAAAAGGCTATATGGGCAAGTTAAAAGATATATAAAGACAAGCTACAAATAATAAATGAATACAAGCTCTCACAAATCACTACTTATTTATAGAGACAAGTACGGACTGGATTGAGACAATATTTGTATGCTCGCTTGACATCACCTTCCTTTATGATCTATGTACCAATAAAAAATAAATTTATATTTAAGACATTACCGAATACACATACATATGACTACCTTTTCCACCTGTGCAATGAACTCATTAACGTCTTTTACCAACTCGGGAACTTTGAGAATTTCTTCATAGTCCATCATATGCTGACGTTCACTGGCAGAAAACCATGCCCGCATATGTGCTGAGAGATCGATGATTCTTGACATGCCATATCTCAAGATAGCTTTCTCCACTGCAGTTATTTTCTTATTTTTAAGATTTCAGCATGTCGAGATACATTTTCAGCAAAAATGTCCTTAACGAATTTTCCTGAGGGTAAACTCCAATTCCGTATGTTAGACAGAACTGAAAACACTGTCCAAAGCCGGAATTTCTTCGTCGCCATCTTCGTCACTATCATTGTTGGAGGATCATCCTCTTCGTCACTCAAATAAATGAAATCTGGTGGTAGTGATGGTGGTAACACTGAGCCATCAGGAAGTACACTTCCATCATGCTTCTTAAGTTTTTTTCGTTCTCTTTTACTGACTCGAAATCCATTTAGAATATATTTCCGCGCTATCTTCAGGCCATCTCGAATGCCCCTCTTATACAATAAAAAAATCAGTAACAAGCTACTAATACTAAGAAGTATCAGAGGTTCATATAGCACATGCCTTATCAACAGCTAACTCCATGTCAACCAGTTGAGATACGATTCCTTATGACCTAAATTTATCGCGTTCTTCCCAAATTTTTTTGTTTTGTTCATTTTTCGCACTTCTCTGTATATATATATATATATATATATTAATTAGTTATTATGATATAATAACTTTGAGACAAAACAGGGGGAAGGAAAGCCCACAATAAACCATGGAAACTCGTCCCTCCCTCAGTGAAACTTGGCCTCCGAGTTTAGCTTAAGGGAACATTCCTTGTCTGAAAACGCGTCTCAGCAGTGTTTCCATGGCCACGTATATTCGACACTACCCATTGGTTTAAAACTCGTTGAAACCATCTCAAAACTCGTCTGCTGGATTAGCCGTGTCACCCCTCTTAAAGAATGAATTTATTTATACTTTCCTTCAATTCTTTTTGCAAATTAAGGATTTCATTATAAGCAGGATGTGTATTTGGATATATTTGCTTCAAGCATCCCAGCTCGTCACCTAAGGCTACGTGTTTATTAACTGTTGATTTTGGAGTCTTTTCGATCCAGTAAGTATCCCAATTGTTTAGGTCCCCCACGTTTTAAAGTCTCGAACCCAGTAATCTAAGGGCCAAGATTTTATTTCACTAATAAAATAGGAAATAAGTACAAAGTAGCAGACTTACCTGAATATTCTAATTTTGAGCGATCGTCACTTGACATATATTCCATATCAAAAATATTACTGAGCGCGAGTAAAATTTCTTTCACAGAGAAGATAATTTTGTTATGTCGAAAGATTATATAAGGATATAATGCATGAAAATTTCCATAACCTTCGCGTGTCCTGAATCTGTGCCAATAAAGATGCATCGATCTCGACACAGCAACCACTAAAGATGCGAAAATTTTTGATCAGCCCAACAAAACAAAAAGCAAAAATGTAGCGATAGCAGGCTTTAAATCTGATTGGTTGATCTTCAAAATATATCACCGCATATATACGTAAAAAGATGATCATCTAACTTTAAATGGATAAAATTTTTTCGACGACGACTTAGTACGTATCATTATCGTTATATTCTATAAACCGTTAAATTGCGAACTTGAATTTATTACTTGAATATTCACATGTAAGATAGTAAATATTTTTATACCATTCACCATATATTCCATGATTTCAATGCTCTTTATTGCAAACTCAATAAATCGAGTCTCAAAAAAAATCATTAATCATATAATTATATTAATTTGTGGTACTCACCTGCGAAATAACTACAATTTAGATAATTGAATTACACGCTTTATAAAGTCGTTGGTTATAAGAAATCAAGCATTATCTTGCAATTCTTTGTCTTTTTGGATATGTGAGTCTGTTCAATATTTATCAAGTGTTTTTTGTTGATTATATGGAGCATTGATATGATAGTTAAATACTATCTCAAAGATATTGTATTGCTTGTTTCTTTAAAAACTGATTTGCATGTCTGACATACAGGAAGTTCATGATGTTCTGCTATGTTTTTGTCAAAAAAAGGTCAAATTGATGATGTGATCTTTGGTCCTCATCAATTTTGGTTAGAAGAATGTGTTATTGAATGACTGGATTGACTACTGGTAAATAATCTTGTAAAACTTGCTGATACTTCTGGCGAAATTTCATAGGTATCAATATTATCTTCACTATTATCCAAGTCTTCATATTCTTCATTTAAAAAATGATAGTTCTCAGCACTCATAGTTGCTCGAAAAATTAATATACAAAAAAAATTGATTAAATAACAGATCCATTTGTACAAGCATCTTATGTTGGCTCTTGTTGTATGATGTATAATATGAATTTGGTAACAGCAGTATATCAATCACGAACTTATTAATTAACATTGATCTAACATAATGATAATGATAAATGATAATAATAATGGCATCGATATAAAAATGTATTGAAATCTATAATTATTATTTTGAAGAAGCTTAAATAAGAAAATCGTAATAAAAAACTATTCATTTTAAATTGTCACATGATTGCTTTCGCTTGTAGATGAAAGAGAAATTATACTTGTTGACTCCAAATAATATTTTCAAGTTAGAGAAGGATGAGTATATTGGTAAATTATAATCGCTTTTCTATCATTGTTCTTGTCACTTTCTAAGAACACTGATTTATTCAAATACTATTTTTTTTTGATGTTAACAAATTAATTTTTATCTTTTTAATATGATTCTACAATGAAAATACATATATAAATTATCAGTTTTATCTAGTAATGAGCGTGATATTTGGAAGTATAGTTATTCTTGAAAAAATCTCATCCTCGTTAATTTTTGTTTTGCAATCCAAAAGAAAAATTAGTAATAAATTAATGAAAACAATAAAAAACATAATTTTATCTTTATTTGGAATACATAAACTGACTGACACTTGTCTTCTCTCTCTAGTTTAAGACACTCAAAGATTTTTTTGCATGTATTGGGAGATTCTAAAGAGTCATAGTACTAAAAATGCAAAGTATTCAAGTTAATAAATTTATGATAAAGTTAATAAAGTTGTCAAATTTGGTCTGTTTTCAATAATGTATTTGCACTATTTGAAAACATTATTTGATATATTTCTTTATAAATATTTAATGCTAGATATATACATATTATGAATATGCTTATCGAATAGTCATTTATCTATTACAATATCATATATATAAGAAAGTACTCTATAATTGATTGAATTGCTGGATCAGTAAGCTCAGAATTGAAAATAAAAGCATTAATATTTAATAATATTATGAGAAAATATCCAGAAACAAGTACTATTTTATTTTTTAGAACCAAAAAGTGGCACTTATTTATAGTATAATGCATTAGTCAATATTATAAAAAAATTAATATAAATAAAAAACTATAATAATATCAAATTTCTGATTAGTTTACTACAAATTAGAATTACTATTGCTAATATAATAAAGTTACAAAAATCTTTTTTTATGCATTCTATCTCATTTTTCATGTATGTTATTCTTTATTATTTAATAGATATATGTAGTATTCATATAATACAAATAATAACTTTCACATATTGATATAAATTATAAAATACTGAATTTATTTTATTAGTACTAGCATAACAATTATAACAAAAATAATATTTCAAAATAAATAGAAATAATAATAATATAATTATTTATAATATATTAAAGAATATTTTACATATAAATAAATCATTATTTTTAAATAATGATACAAATACAAATAATAACTTTTATATAATGATATATTAATATTAATTATTATTTTTAACAAAAATTAATTTATTATTATTTAAATTGATTTAAATCAGTTTGTTTTTGCAGATTGAGAATTAATAAAACTGAAAATATCTCTAAATAGATCATTAAAACTTTGAGAGAAAATAAATAAATTATTTATATTAATTAAATATACTATAATATAATTTAAAAGAATTTTTATAATTGATATATATTCAAAAAATAATTTAATGCTTTAGTCAAAGCTCTATTTTTCTAAATATAATTTGTAATATAATATATATAAAGTATAATAAATATTAAATTTATTTATATTATTACTATTAGTATTATTTATAAATAAAAATTTTTATTATATAGTAAATAGTGAATATATTTATATAAAAAAGTGTGAAAAAATAAGCAAATATAATATGATCTTCTAATATTATTAAATATTAGTCAAAGTGCTAAAAGATTTACTAAAAATCTAATAAGTTTACTCAAAACTTAAAAAATATAAGTTTATAAAGAACTTGAAATATTATTAAAGAATTTTATAAAAAATAAAACACTAAGTTCTTTAATATTTAATTATTACTGTTACAATTATATTATAAAATTCGTTAATTCTATAATTTATAATATTTCATAAAATTATGAAAATTAATAAAAAACTTAGAATATTTCACAATTTTTTTATATATTATTTATTATAATATTCATATATTTTTATTTTTCTTCCTTGTACTCCTATTGTTACCGTAGTAACATAAATTTCTCTAATTCGATAATCTTTTATTGATTATGCGAAATTCCCTTTTTCTTAATTTTTATAATTTATCACCTGATTATCATTATTTTTATCCAATCGTATA